GAATTGTTTTGTAAACTAATAATCTGTTATTAAAATTGATCCATGAACAGAGGAGCCTATTTGGGGTATGATGTTAAGAGTCTGTGTCGACAAACCTCTTGCAGAAGCTCAGACTTCAGAGCCTCAAGGCTAAGGTGTCATGTCTTGGACTACGGGCTGACAGTCCTCTGCTTTGAGTCCCTTCCCTCGCATCCCGACCTCAGCTTTTTCTGAGTTGAAAAATACCAGCCAGACACAAATCTTACCCCACTCCCACTCCCGCCCCAGAGGCACATGTGTGGAACAGCTGGGACCCAGCTTGGCATCGGCAAATGGGACTCCCACGCTGTATAGAAAGATCTCTTCCCAGACTCTCTGCTATCCCCTGTTTGTAGCTGACTTCAGGGCCTTTTCAGGACTCCAGACCTGGTCCCTCTAAGCAGGGAACAGATCATCTTGAGCTCAAGCTTTCTGAGCAAAGGGTACCACAGTGCCCAACTTCTGCAGATCCTGGGGCTCAGGACCCCGCCCAGGCCCTGGTGATACGCTCTTCACAGCTCCATCTGTGGCCCAAGCTTCAGAGGAAGTCTGCAGGGCACAAGGGGACTTGTCGTGCTCCTCCTGCAATGACACTGGCTTGCTTTTTAAGCTGATAGGAGGAACTTTAGGCAAATCTAGAACCTTCTGGAAAAGTCTCGTGAGCCGGTCTGATGGGCGCGTCCTGGGTCTCAGTCCCGGACTGTCCCTAGCCTTCTGACAGCTCCAGGCTGAGCCTCCTAGACTCTGTGTTTCCTAAAATGGCCTCAGTACAGAAGCCTGTGAACTCCTGACAGCTTGGGCAAGTCACTCAACCTCTCTGAGCTGCTTTCTTACCTGTGATTATGGGAGCAGCGTGAGTGCCCACCTCACAGGGTGCTGGTGCAGAGGCGGCTGGCTTCTGTCTGCCTTAGTTCCCTCAGCAGGGCAGCTGTTAGGAGTAACTTCTGCCCATGTTCCTTATATGCCCGGGTCTCATCCGCCCTGGGATTGATTCCTACCTTCCTCCTTCCACCCATCACATGCCTCCTCCTATAGATGAATCCCGTAAGGAAACAGTGCAGAGAAATCCGCCGCCGTCTTCAGCCCTCCCCGAGTCAGGTTTGGGGGGCCGTGTCCTTTGGAAGGATGGAAAATCTTCTCTCAGAAGATAAAACACACACAGCTTATCAATGACAGAACCAGGACCAAAACCTTGGTCTTCTGCTTCCTGTCCTTGTACCCGAAGCTGTAGAAGCTTCGGGGCCGTACGCAATGCTCAGCCCCTACCTTCCAGGAATGCCGAGCCTGGCAGGGAAAGAAACCGTAAGCGGTCTTCCACGCTGGACAGGATGGATAAATGCCATCCGTACCTGAGGTTCGAGTATGACCCCCCCGGGACTGTGGAGCCCTATTGTTTACACAGCCAGGTGCTTCTAAAACTGGCGGGGATCCCCTGGGGATCCTGTTAAAAATGAAGATTCTGATTCATCGGGTCTGGGCTGGGGGAGGGGAGTCTGAGATATTTCTCTTCTTTCTTTCTTTTTTTTTTTTTAACTTTTATTTACTTATTTTTAAGAGAGAGAGAGAGAAAATGTGTATGTGAGCAGGGTGGGGAGAGGGGGACGTGGGAGAGGGAGAGAAAGCATCCCAAGCAGACTTCATGCCCAGCCAGGAGCCCCATGGGGGGCCCAGCCACAGGACCCTGAGATCATGACCTGAGCAGATATCAAGGGCTGGACACTTAACCAACTGAACCACCCAGGTGCCCCCTGCCTTTTTTTGGTTCACATTTATTTATTTATTTATTTATATTCTTTGGAGATTTTTCATTTCTTTTTTTTTTTAATGTCATTTATTTATTTGACAGAGATCACACGTAGGCGAGGGGTGGGGGGAGACGCAGGCTCCCCGCTGAGCAGAAAGCCCGATGCGGGGCTCGATCACAGGACTCTGGGATCACACCTGAGCCGAAGGCAGATGCTTAACCCACTGAGCCGCCCAGTCGCCCTGAGATTTTTCATTTCTTACAAGCTCCCGGGTGTTGCTGATGCCACTGTCCACCCACCATGCTCTGAGTAGTAAAGGGTTTAGATACTCAGCTTTTTCTTTGCATGATGGAATCCTCTGTCCAAATGTCTAGAAACCAAAAGCAACAATTATCACCATAACTGTGTCAATAAATGTTACTTCAGGCTGCTTCAGGTGGCCCCGTGGGGTGACTTTCAGTAGTCACAGTCTCAATACCCATTGTGCTACTGGTGTCATGGGGACTTACAGCACAGGAAAAAATACAAACCCTGAATCTCCGCCCTCAGTAACCTTACTGTTTACAAAGGAGATGAGTCAGATGAAACAGCACAAGAACAAGTCAGCTCCAGTCCGCACATCTATGCGGTACACTTCTAGACTCACAAAAGGACACAGAAAAGCATGAATAGGCCTCAGACTGTGTTCATCAGCAGACATCAATATCCTCCCACTGGTCTTCCTGTGTCCACTCTGGAGCCCCTCCAGTCCATGCTCTTCCCTCCACTGACCGGAATAGGCTTTTCAAAATTGCAAATCTGATCACATTATAGCCCCCCCCACCCACCGCATTTTAGGCCTTCCATTTCCCCCGCACTGCATTTCGCAGGAGCAGGCCCCACAGGGCTGGCCTCTGCCCTGCCCCCATACTTTGTGCTCCAGCCACACTGGCCATGCTGTGTATCACACGGTTCTTACACAAAGCCTGTTGGCTGGGACTCCTGGTTTAACCCCATCTCCTCCTTCATGTCAAAGACAAGGAGGGGGCGAGCTGCAAGGGAGTTAGTGTGAACTTCTGTCACTGGGAAGGCTTCCCAGGGGAGGGGAGACTGCTACCTTACAGGAGGAAAAAGGCAAGGTCAGGGAAGGTGAAACACAGAGGCCATGCTTGGGATGGAGGAGAGGACTGCTCACCCGTAATGTCATGGCCAAAAGACCTTGAAAACAAAATACATTCAAGATCTTATGACCAACTTAGAAGATATTTTCTAAAGGTTACAGGAATGTGAAAGACTCTATGGAGTGAGAAATCTTTCCTCGTATGCTCATTCACACTACCAAATCTGTCTTTAGCCCTGAGATTCCCTTAACTTAAGACTTACGTCACCGAGTGTCTATCTGGATTTCTCCTCTCAATACGCTGGCCCTCTCCATACAATTAATCTGAAACTAAACTCACATCTTTTCTTTCTGTAAGTGCCCTCTTCGTTTATATTTGTGAGCTAGATGGCTTTCTAGAACCATCTTGGACCTTCCCCTTGCCCTCTTCTCTTTTGTCAGTTACCGATTCTATTGTCCCTCCCTTGTTCAACCCTGCCCTCCCCCAACACTAGCAACATTCTTTCACGGTTTCTTTTTTCCTGTACTGATGCAAACACCTGTTACTGGCCTCCTAGCTCAAAGCATCCCTACCTTACCTGCCCCTGCCCTGCCCGGCTCTGAGCATCGTTCTCCCCACCACCCCAGTCACCTCCCCTGGATTTCCTCCAGCGGGCAAACAAAACTCAAACTCCTTAGTTTGACTTTCAGAGCTCCTCTCCTGTCTTAGGGGGCTTATCTTTGACCTCTGCTGCCCCTTTGCTCCAGCCTGTGGGAGGTACTTGCCCCGTCCTTGAAAACCCGATGGACCTTCCCAGCTGTGACCGCCTATTCTGATTCCTCCTCCCTCTCCCCGTCCTAATCTTACCCATCCTTCAAGGCTCACCTCAACTGCGTGTTTTGTTTTGTTTTTTAATTGAAGTACAGTTGACAAACATTCTTAATGTCACATGTACAGCCTAGTGATTTGACAAGTGAGTATAGTCCCCATTTGTCACCATACAGCATTATTAACGATGTTATTGACTATATTCCCTGTGCTGTACTTTTTGTCTTCATGGCTTATTCTGTAACTGAAGTTTGTACCTCTTAATCCTCTTAATCCTTTTCTTGACCCTTCCACTGCCTCCCTTCCCAGAGGCACATCTTCTGTGAAGTCTTCTCTAATCCCTTGGCCATAAGAGATGGTCCTCCGGGGGCTCTTGGGTGGCTCAGTGGGTTAAAGCCTCTGCCTTCAGCTCAGGTCATGATCTCAGGGTCATGGGATTGAGCCCCGCATCAGGCTCTCTGCTCAGCCGGGAGCCTGCTTCCCCCTCTCTCTCTGCCTGCCTCTCTTCCTACTTGTGATCTCTCTCTCTCTCTCTGTCAAATAAATAAATAAAATCTTAAAAAAAAAAAAGATGGTCCTCGGAACTCCCATAGCGTGGTGACACTTGAATACTTATGCTGCATTCTACCATGGTGATGATGGTGATGATTTCTTTGTTTCACAGTATGGATAACATCTATTAATTATTGACTACCCAGGTATCTTGGGCACATTATGAAACTTCTCCATGCCTCTGTCTTTCCTCTGTAAGATGGTGGAAATAATGAAACCTGGCCCAAAGGGTTGTGAGGATTCGTTACAATCATACCTGACATGAAGTACTTGATCAGTGAATGTTAGCGATTGTCATTGCTGTGAGTAGAGGGGCTTACTTTATATTGTCCCCACTCACCCTCAGACCCCATGAACTGGGTTACTATGATTTTACTCTCTTGTTTTGTGTTTTAAAAGAGTTTAGTTTTAAGTAATCTCTACACCAAACTTGGGGCTCAAACTCTCAACCTCGAGATCAAGAGTCAGATGCTTTACTGACTGAGCCAACCAGGTGCACCCTTCAAAAAAAAGATTTACTTAGAGAGAGAGAGCCTGTGTGCACACATGCAGAAGGGGAGGGGCAGAAGGAGAGAGACCATCTGAAGCGGACTCCATGCCTAGCTTGGAGCCCCACGCAGGGCTTAATCCCACGACCCTGAGATCATGACCTGAGCTGAAATCAATAGTCAACACTTAACTGACTAAGCCACCCAGAAGCCCCCAGGTGCCCCTTTTTAAAATTGTGACAACACATAGATAACATAAAATTTATTATTTTAACCTTTTGGGGGGGCTTTTTTTAATGGAATGTGTCATAGATTTGCTTGTCATCCTTGCACAGGGGGACTTGCTAATCTTCTCTGTATTGATCCACTTTTGGTGTATGTGCTGCCAAAATGAGCACCGATCTTAACCATTTTTCAGTACACACATAGTTCAGTAGTGTTAAGTACATTCCCATCATTATGCAGCCCATCTCCAGAACATTTTCATCTTGCAAAATTGCACCGCTCTACCTATTAAGCAATTTCCCATTCCCTCCTCCCTGAGCCCTAGGCAAGCCCTAGGCAACTATTCTGCTTTCCATCTCTACGAATTGTATTATTATACTTTTTAAAAAAGATTTTATTTATTTATTTGAAAGAGAGAGCATGTGCAAGAGGAGGGGCAGAGGGGGAGGGAGAAGCAGACTCCCCAGTGAGTGGGGACCCTGATGTGGGACCAGATCCCAGGACCCTGAGATCATAACCTGAGCCAAAGTCAGACACTTAACCGACTGAGCCACCCAGGTGCCCCGTATTATCATATTCTTCACAAACTGAGGGTACCAAAGTTCAAAGAGTAATTTGCTTCCAGGAGACAGAATCTGGACTGAACCCAGGCCGCTGTTCATGCTCTTAAGCCACTTTGAAATAGGGCTTCATCTCAAGAGCATCTGTGGTGTGTTTTACTTCCCTCATAACAATGATGGTGCCTGTGTGCCCAGGCCCTCCTCTGTGCCCCTGTGTTGCCACCATTCTCGCATTTAATCGTCACAGCAGCCCCACGGTCATTGTGAGGGGCTGCGTCCTGTCTCCCCGCAGTGTCGAAGAGAGACACAGGAAGCGTGTTCGGTGGGGGGCCTATCTGATGCTTTTAAGTAGACTAACTCATACTAGATAAGTTTGTTGTACGTTTTTAATGCAATTGCTTACATTTTTGGGAAAAATATTGATCGTCACAGGAGAAAACCAGCTGAAACTCTGGAGCTCGTAAGGAACTTCCCAGTCTTCTCCACTCCCCCTCCTCCTGCAAGTCGATCTGCTCTCCTCACCCCAGGTCAGCCCCAGTCTGCCACCGCCCCCACCCCGGACCCTCATCTGCACCTCATCACCAGCTCTGTTGATCCACAGGGCAAAGGCTGAGGCAGGCAGGCAAGGGGACATAAGAGACTGTCCTTGCTCGGCTTCCTCCCCCGGCCACTCCACCCACACTCTTCCTCTAGCCCAGCACAGTCCCGGCCATCCTGGAACAAGTTGTGTCCTTTCACGCCTCCCTGACTTCGCACATGCTGTTCTGAAGACTGGAATGCCTTCTCTCGTTCTCCACCTCCGAGACTCCTACAGTCTCTGCAAGCCAGCTCAGATGTCACCTCCTCTGGGAAGCCTCCTCTCCTGCCCTGGGCTGTCTGTCCGCCCCCTCCTCTGCACAGACTTGCTCATCGTATACTAAGGCACTTGGACCACAACGAGCGACCTGGAGTCAGTGTGTCCCCTGTGTCCCCAACTCCTTGTGCTCTGCTCGGAGCAGGGGTCAAGAGGAACCTGGGGCGCTTGGATTTTTCTTGATGCTCCTAGGACATTTGAAAATGAGATGGCAAAACACGTTCACAAATAAATACTGAGGCATATTTTTCCACGTTTAATACATTAATGGCTTCTAATACAAAAAAAATCACACCATAATTGTGCTGCTCACAAGATGATTAAAGGATTTATTAAAATAATGTAGGGTGCTCCACAGGCATAGTAGCCTTTGTTAGTAAGAAACAAGCTTAAGGACACAGAAAGAGGGTCTTTGATCAAATTGGTCAGTGGATCTGACATAACGTTAACCCCATTCGGAGATAATATCAAAAGCCTAACTTGGAGACCCTGGCCCAGTGGTTCTTCTGGCCCCTTTCTGTGATGAGAGGCTCTGCTGCCCCCTCTGTACCCAGTAGGATCTCAGTGTTTGCAGAATGATGGGAACACGTGCAGCTTTCCAAGTTAATTATTGAAAATTCTCATACAATAAGTATTCCTGAGAAACAATGAAGTCCTGAACAATGGGGCAGGAAGCCACCTCCTTCTCCAGTGACCCCCCAACCCTCAGAGTCCCGCTGAAGGCTGCAGCAGGAAGCCCCTCACCCACCGTCTTTCCTCCCCTTCTTCCCCAAGGGCACCAAAGGCAGTTGGGCTTTCCCTTTGCTCTCAGCCTCTCTTCTCCTCCACCCTCTAAGGGTCCCAGGTGAAGAGAGAAGCACTTAACTCACAGAAGGAGGCCAGCAGCTAAGCTGGGCTCCGAGGGAGAGTCGTCCTGTCCCTAGGCAGGCCTGAGGAATAAAAGAAACAGTGAGAGGACAAAGAAGGACTTAGAGCACTGGAGCAAGGGGGAGAAAGGCCTAAGGAAGTTTACAAAGCAATCTGTCAGAGAAGGAATGAAAAGGGAGCCCTGCTGGGCTGAGACGCTCAGGGGCTCAACTCACCTTAGGCCCAATTAGAAATGTGCAATTACTGCACCAAAGTCTGAAGTGAGCTCCCCCCACCTCCTGTCCTTGTCGAGAAGTTTCCCTGAGTGCGAGGCCTCCACTTTCTGAGTTCTGGCAGCCTCAAATACCTCTGCTCTACTGGGCTCAATCTACCAATTTGCTTGAATCCACCAAACTGGCCCAACTTCCAATCCCCTCTGGATTTCCAGCAGAAACACCACGTGAGGGGAAGGCCACCAGCAGATTCTCACAGCTCCTGGGCCACTCTGACTTCCCAGATTTTCTGAGCCAGTGAAAATATCCACAGGCCTTTCTGGAAGTCTCCCCGCTACCCCAGCCACCAAAGGCAGGATAAATAATAGTAACAGCTATCATGTGAGCGTTCCTTCTGCGAAGTGCTTTATGTCACCTCACTCAGTGCTCACCACCAACTGAGGGACGATTGCTCGGTCTTACAGAAAGGGAAATGGGCCTGCGGAGATTGAATGACTTTCTAAAGGACAGACAGCCAGGATTCCAACTCAGGTCTGTCTGACCTCGATACCCCATGCTCTTCCCACTGCAGACACCGTCTCTTTCTCGGGGACCTTCCAAAATTCCTTTTTCTCTTTCTTTCTTCTTATTTATTTTTTTTGTGTGTGTGGTACCCAAATAAATTTCAGATGGGGTAGGATGGTATAATTCTGAGCTATCTAAAGAATTCCTAGCCTCACAGCTGGGGATGAGAAGAGGAGTGGGAGTGGGAGAGCCGGCCTCAGGGCTGGGTAAGGTCCTAGCTCTTTGTAGACACTTGAGTAATTTAACCATAAATAACTGGGCACTGGGAACAGGACACTCACTAATAAAAGCATAGCCCGGAGTCATGTTGGGGGTTGTGGGGGGGGGGAATTCAAGTCACTCAGTGGGTGGATATATCTGCAAAACAAAAGAAAAGCCCCTTTCCCAGCCCAGGCAGAGAAGTCTCCTGTAAAGTTAGAGACAACAGGCTTCTGGGCACGTAGCCAAGGTTCTGGGGATATTTATAACTTGAAGAGGGTGGGAGTCCCTAATAAGCTGCTATATTCTTTTTCCATCACTTCCCTCTCCAAGGCTACAGCGAGCTCAGAGCTCTTCCCCACGCAGAATGCCTGCTTTCCCTAGTGCTCTGCTGCCATTGTCTAATTTTCTCATCCTGGCTGGGGAAAGGGAAGGCTGCAAGCCCTTCCGTTCGGAAGAACTCCAGTTGAATGCAGCTTAGCTGCTGCTGGTGTTTCTTGGCTAGCTGCTGTGGTCTCGGGGATCTGCCTATGAGTCTGTGGTTTCTCTGAGCTGCCTGAGAGTCTGTGAGTCTTTGGGATCCGCCTACGGATCTCTGGGCTCTGCAGCCAAGTCTACGGATTTGAAATCTACCTGCGGGGCTGAGATATCCGGGATCTGCCAGTGATCTCCAGAATCCTTCCAAACACCCGAAGTCTCAGAGAACTCTGCCTGCGGATTTGGAATCTGTTTGAGGCCTCTCAGATCTTGGAGCCGGCGATCTAGTGGATCTTTTGCGGGTCAGGAGGTAAGCCTGTTCTTTCCCCAGCTGGGTTTTTCGGCTTCCCACCTTCAGCCGGTCAGGGACTGAAGGTCCGCCCGGCTCAGGGCTCAGAGGCCCAAGAACTCATCCGTGCAGGAAACCGTCAGAAATCCTTTTAGGAGACAACCCATCAGGGATGATAAGGACGACTGTTCTCAGCGCTGAGGCCGGACTCGCTCCTCCTTCGGCGCCCTATCCCCCACGGTCGCTTCTGTATACCCTCAGGGTTTTCGCATCCCCTCTACTGGGCGCAACTTAACCCGCCCCTCAAGGGGCACCCTCTTTAGAAGGACAAGGTTGGATGCCCCTATAGGGTTAACAGCGGTGGAGCCGGGACACCGCCTGGCCAAGCCGCGTACCGCACTAGCCAGCGCACCCGCGGCGCAGTGTCTCCTGGGAGTTGTAGTCTGGGTAGCGGGTGAGAGTGCCGCAGGCGCTGCTGGGAGACGTAGTGCGTGGGCGGAGCTCAAAGTTACAGCGCGGCCGCTGAGTCTCCCCTGGGGAGTGGGAGGCTGCCGCTTTCCTTTCAGGCCCCGGCTGTCAAATGAGGGCCAATCCCAGAAGAACCCAACACAGGCCAGCGTCTAAATTAGGCCCGAAGTCGAAGTTAAGGCCCGACTCAAGCTTCTAAGGTCGTGAGGAGATGCAGGGCAACCTCTCTGGCTTAATCGGGCTGTGGTCTCCAAGTGAAGAAAGCGGAAGATACTACGCCCTGGCTAGGAGGACGTGCTTCTTTCTTCACCCTTTTGTTCTTTTCCCTCCTTGGTTTTTGGCCTCTGACTGGCCTTTGTACGCCAGAATGGAACTCCAACTCCCGGCAGGCCACGGGGGCAGGCGCAGGCGTGATAGGGTGCTCAGCCACGCTCAAGAGGCGGGCCTAATGTTCGCCATCTAATTGGCAGAGCGTTTTGCGAGCTTTGCACGCTGATTGGTCGAGGTAGCTGCCGGAAAGGGCCCAGCCTCGAGATGGGAGAGCGGAGGCGTTCTGTGGGCTGGGCTGAGAGCCTCCTCCCCGAGACCGCATCGACTTGACCCCCCGGCCGGGGAGAGCCCGAGCCTGGGGGCTGTCTTAGTAAATTCCTGCAGTGCCTCCACCCTACGGTGGCGGAGACACAGAGGGCGGGTCGCGCTCGAGGGTCAGGGAGGAGAGTGACCCGGCCCGGGTCCAGGGCCCTCCCCACCCGTCTGGCGGCCAGAACTCCAGCCCTGGGGAGTGGGCAGGGCCTGTTTTCTGTGCCTCACGCCCTGCTTTTCGCCTCCTTTAGCGCTGTCTGCTAGCTGCTTTCCTGCTCTCTCTTCTGGGAGGCGAATCCTTGAGTCCGAGATGGCAGCCACCCTGCTCATGGCTGGGTCCCAGGTAAGCCGGGGGTGGCTTCTCGGACCCTGCCTCTGCTTATCCACCTTGTCCCGGCGTTTCTTTGCTCTGCAAATCCCTGTTGGCAATTCCCTGGGATTAGTAATTCACTCGCTTCGGTATTCTGCCTCCAGGAACCTCAGTACCAGGCCAGTATAGCCACAGACAAGCATTTATCGAACACCAGCTGTATGCCTTTAAATACTGGGGAGACAAAAGATGGATGAAACGGGCCCTCCCTGCCTGCTCATAATCTTTAGGGAGACAGACGACGCATCCGGTTAACCGTAATAGGACGTGATAACAGCTTTATTTGTCGTAGGAACAAAGTGCCAAAGTGCCGTGGTGTGAGAACCAAGAAGTGGGAGTGATTAATGCTGGAGAGTCCGAGGGAGGAGTGGAGCGGAGCAGGGGTTGGGGGCACAGAAGAACAGTTGGTACTGGAACAGGGCCTTAAAGAATTTTAAGATCTCACTAGTCTGAGAAAGAGATTCCAGGAAAAGAGGAACATTGTGAGTAAAGGTATGGAATGATGTAGGCGATGCATGTGTTCTGAGAAAAGTACCGCTAGAGGATAAAGTTCTTGAGTGGCCAGGGACATCTGGCTATGGAAATAGGGCAGTCAGCAGGTAAATGGCTTCCTTCTCTACCACATCTCTTTTTTTGCCTGCTTATTTCTTCTCTCCACTCTTCAGTTAATTCCTTTTGCGTTCTCAACGATTCTAGCCATGTCTCTAATTTCAAGAAGAAAAACTGGTACTAACCTCCAAACACCAAGTAATGAGGAAGCATTGTGTGATTTCAGGCACCTGTGACATTTGAAGATATGGCCATGTACCTCACTCGGGAAGAATGGAGACCTCTGGACCCTACACAAAGAGACCTTTACAGGGATGTTATGCAGGAGAATTATGGAAACGTCGTCTCATTAGGTAAGTAAGGATTCTCTCTCTCTCCACCCCCACATTTTCAAGACTCTCAAAAATGGCTTAACTCTTCCAACGCAACCTAGTTGTTTGATTTTTAAAGCAATTAATTGGCTATTGGCTTGAGTTCTGTCCACAGGCAAATCTTTTGCGTGTAGGAACATCAGTCATATTGTTTAAAAAGAAAAACTGTTTCTGCCCATTTTAGAAACATTCAGATTTCTTATGCCCTGAGTCATCTACCCTTCTCCAGCCTGTTTGTACAGATCACTGACCAAACAGGTCTAACATAATGGTGCGTGCCAGGATGTAAATGCCCCTGTAAATGGTGATTTTACTACCAGATTGAGGGGAGTTCTGACCCAGGTTCATGGGAGGGCAAAAAGCCACAATTTTGTGTTTGTTTTGGCTTCAGAGCCCTAGCTTTGGCTGAGGTCCTTTATTTATCTGGAGCAGGTACTTGTCTAGAGGTGATTCAGAGTTGATCGTAGGTTTTGAGTGTGTCAAAGGTTCAGGAGAATCATGAATAGAATGATCACAGATTCTGTTAGGCAGGGAAGTGAATTTTTTTGATGGCCTGCAGACCTGTCTACTCTTGGCTATCCTTTGGTGTGGATGTAACTAGAATAAATAATATATTCGTGAGCTGAATGGTCTTTGACTCACTTAGTCTCTTGGTAACACTTGACAGAAGTTAGCAACTGTGTATGGTTCACTAGGTCATCTGCCATTCATTAGGACTAATTCTTTTTTGGAAACCTTTATTTCTGTAGCCTTTCCCAGAACAAAAGGGAACTATGAGGGGTTTCATTCTAAACTTGGGCTCTTCCTGATGTTCCAAGATTCTTGGATCTTTCCTTTAGAAAAGTAACTAGAAATGAAGTTAATTACCTAGATGTATTGCAGTCTCTAATCCAAATATTCCACTCAATCCAACAAAAGAATCAAGTGAGAATCTTAAAGAAATGTGAATTTATATGGCTATGGTCCAGCCCAAGTAGCACTTGTTAGAAGAATGGAAGCATGAAAGAACACACACACACACACACACAAACAAGTTTCTTTCCCAAATAAATTTGGCACTGGGTTAATAATATTTACAAGGTTTCTTTACCTCAAGACTTGTCAGAGCCTTTAATGTGTTAAATGGCATGTGAATTTCTAAGAAGAGGCTATTGGATGCACCATGTACCAAATGAATTTATCCATGGACCCTTTTCTTCCAGCATACCTATTAACTTCTTTGTTGAAGAGAATGCTAAGAAACACAACTTAGAAAATACAGTGTCTGGTAGAAAGTTTCTTGTAGACAGTGGTTATATATTTTCATTTTCATTTGCAGACTGTATTTAGTTAATGTCGGGAATGTTCTGAGCTGTTTTTGCATCCTCCAACCTTCCCTCCTCTATTCATAGTAGGAGGCCACTGGAAAGTAGCAAGTAACATTTGGCAGTCACCTCTCCTGTCAGTTAAAGACTTGCTATAGCCAGACAAAAATGTGTTTTTTCCATAGTAACCCAGTAGATTCTTAGTAACTATGACATGGTAATAATGAAGACTTGAAAAGTTAAGAACATAACACACAACACGATCACGCATAAAATATCTAGGCCCTTGGCTTTTAGAGATTCTAATATGGAGTCTCTTATATTTTCTGTTTCTGGCTCTTTTCTTTCAAAACACCAGGAATATATATATAATTTTCTTAAAGAACCATTAACTCTAGTGGTACAGAGCATGAACCGTGATCAGACAGACCTGGGTTTCAATCATGGCTCCACCATTTACTACTTTATAAGCCTTCACAAGTCACTTCTCTTGGTCTTTTTTTTTTTTTTTTAAAGATTTAATTTATTTGTCAGAGCAAGTGCACAAGCAGGGGGAGCAGCAGGCTGAGGGTGAAGCAGGCTCTCTGCTGAGCAAGGAGACCAAAGTGGGACTCGATCCCAGGACCCTCAATCATGACCTGAGCTGAAGGCAGACACTTATCCAACTGAGCCACCCAAGTGTTGCCCTTCTCCGTGTCTTGGATTTAAATTGTCATAGAGTGGAAATCATCATAATGCTGGACTTTCAGGGTGGTTGAAATAATGGGATAAAGAACTTAGCACAATATCTGGTACACAGTAGATAAATTTTTTGTGTGTATTTTCCAGTATTATTATTATGACTATTTACCCTTTATTACAGATTTTGAGATCAGGAGTGAGAATGAGGTGAATCCAAAGCAAGAGATTAGTGAAGATGTAGAATTTGGGACTGCCTCTGAAAGACCTGTTGGGAATACTGAGGAAAATCCTGAAAATGAAGAGGCCTTTGAAAGCGGGGATAGACCAGAAAGACAGTGGGGAGATTTAACAGCAGAAGAATGGGTAAGCTATCCTCTTCAACAAGTCACTGATCTGCTTGTTCACAAGGAAGTCCACACAGGCATCCGATATCATATATGCTCTCATTGTGGAAAGGCCTTCAGTCAGATCTCAGACCTTAATCGACATCAGAAAACCCACACTGGAGACAGACCCTATAAGTGTTATGAATGTGGAAAGGGCTTCAGTCGAAGCTCACATCTTATTCAGCATCAAAGAACACACACTGGGGAAAGGCCCTATGACTGTAATGAGTGTGGGAAAAGTTTTGGAAGAAGCTCTCACCTCATTCA